CTGGGCTCTCTTTCGACGGTCCACCTTTCCGGCTTTGACCGCGACGCCGCCCTTGACTGCGCCTCTCTTCCAACATGACCCGGTCAAAATTAAATTGCGCAGCCTGGAACAGGTCTGCTGGGGTTTGAATGCCGGGACCCGCACGCTCTAGGCTCTCCCGATCGCATGCGTTAGGATGCATCCCTGCCTCGGCCCTTCTGACCTCGTTCTGCGCAGCCTCGAATGCCCGAAATAAGTCCCCCGGCTTAGCAACCGGTTTGTATGCGGACGGATCTTTCCTCGGCCTTCCAGCTTTAACCCGCTGGCGGTTTTTATCCGCCCCGACCTGTTCGTCACCCGTATGTCCCGTGTTCCGCCGGGCCTGCCTCTCCGTCCTAGCCGCTTCATGCTGCCTTTGGCCCTCTTCGAAGATGTCAGCGGACGTCCGGATATTTAATCCGGCGTACGCCACGTTCTCGCGATTGCGCGCGTCGAGGCGATGGAATCGGTTGAGTGGACTCTCCGTCTCCTTTCTCGGCCCCTGAGGTGGCTGGCTCGGTTCAGTCACATTAACCTCCACAGACACACTACCCTTTAAAACACTCCCTGATTGCTCCTTTTCCTTTCGCACCATAAGCCCGAACTTGTCGAAGCCGAAACCGGCCGGCAGATCCGCAACGACCAGCTTCCTGAAAGGCAGGGCGATTCCTTCGCGGTCGTTTTTCTTAACATATGGATCTTTGCGGCACCAGGCCTTCAGATTTACCAGGTCGTCCGGCTCGATGGGGTCGACCGATTGCTTGACCTTGCGTCGTCCGACTTGCTGGGCTCGTCTGTGAATTAACCTGTTCAGCTTTACCACAGCTTCGTCCCAGTCTCTCACCTCGCGAGCCGCCGTCAACAGTTTATTACAAAACCCTACTCCTCGATTCGCCCACTGGTAATATTGAACTTTGTCTTCGCCCCAGATACGCCTCACCGACTTCAGGCCTTCGCGGGCTTTCGATCCTTCCAACAAATGCCCTCCGGTGGCCTTTCGAGCCGGAGCGGTTTTAACATTACCCTCGCCGGCCTCGCCAAACCCGCCGGCCGGGATCCTGTCCACAGCGTCGTTGGTAGCATCCATAGCTGGATACATCTAGTCGACTTCGTCCAAAGCAACGGCTTTGCGCGCATCTGCAGCGTCGATATCGAATTCGACCAAATCGATCGCGTATGTTATCGGCACTAGAACACCAACCTGCGGCCCTCGAAAAAGGCCTTCCAGCCCACCTTGCTTATACCCCCTCCAAAACGCATCGACTACACCATTGCACCCTTTCCCTTCCCCCGTACTTTAACCCCTCGCCCACCCCTTCGCTTTTCCATTCGCATTACGGAGCATTACAGACAAGCGCTGTCCCTGCCCGCCGACCGGCAGCCAGCCCCTGTCCCGGGGCACCGGTCGCTTCCCGGCTAACTCAGCCACATCGCCTAACAAGCCAATCACTTCAGCTTCAAACTTTAAACGTGACCACGTTCCTCCGTCCGCCCGTTTATCATTTTGTCCTAGCACTCGTTAGTCTCTTTCCCCTGTTCGTGTGATCAGGTCACCTGGGCGGTAGTTTAGTCATCCCTGCACTTTACCTGATCTATATAGCCGTGCCTAGGTGTTCCTTCATCCACTTGAGCACCCGCCCCACCAGATTCGAGTATAAACCTATTCACCCAACTTAATTCTTCTATCTTACCTACCAGGCACTTCACACGCTTGATATCCACAAGCGTCAGACACGAAACGCCCCCGCTTAGCACCTTCTGTCATGTCTCGACAGCCAATATTTTCGAGCATCATCCACTTGCGTGATTTTGTCGACACCATTACCGACGATTCGACTCGGGACGCTCCGAATTACGCCGAGATCCGCGCGGATATCAACATCTTCGACGAAGACGGCTTTTACAGTCCTGATATCATCGCCGAGCCGATTCGCACCCGCATCCACGTTTATATGACGCGAAACGAACGAGACCTATACCTTCCCAACACCTTCTTTTATGCCGATGGCCGCTTTTTGACGGTCCTTTCCGCAAACGGTGATTTGGAAATCAGCATCCAGGCACTGAGCTT